TTGTATTAACCTGTAGTTACTTTACACCACTGCCCTTTGATAAACCACTGAGCACGTTAAATGATGATGACCCATTTATGATGCGAATCAGTACTGACACTTATTACATGCTGTTATACTAGATTAGATTAGATTGCACTTTATCTTTCACCACAACGGGGAAACTCACATTGTTGCAGCAGTATGGATACAGGAAAAAGCCCAACAAAGTGACAGCAAGAAAAGAGAACAAATAAACTATCAATAGTAAAAGCTGGGAAATGTAATACAATACACACACACACACACTATATACACTATAGGTCCATATAATGGATTATATGAATAAATTTTTTTTTAAAAAGATAAATTGAATAAAATAAAATATGGTACAAAATAAGTGCGGTACAGTTATGACAATGTTTAGTTGCTGTTGTCTCCTTGTGGTTTCTAAATGGTGGGAAACTACATGTTTGCAGGTTTATTGTAGACTTTTTCACATTACGTTGAAGGAGGTTTGGGGGGCAGGCATTTTTAAATAATAAGCATTCTTGAATGATTTTAATGTTCTTGAAGTGTGTATTATCTTTAACAAGGTATCGGACTGCAGCTCGTTATCAGCAGATCATAAATATTCAATGACTTGAATCCACACGCGGAGACACTCTGGTTTCACTTCTTTAATTTGGCTGTTTAGTCACTTCAAATACTAACTCAACGTTATGAGAATTCCAATAGTCACACTCATCACACACAGTTTTAAAAAATAAAAAATAAAAAAAAGCACATAGACCTGACAGGCTTCCTTCACAGCTGTAGTCTATGGGGGGGCAATGCGAACTGGCAGCAGTTGGCTCATTGGCGGTGCTTAATCTGACTCTTTTTAATACATCTAGACCGGGAATAGGCAACTGTTCGGGTGATAATATGTCAATGTTGTGTTTACAGCTTCTTCTGCTGAACCGAAGTGGCTCAAAAGTTACTAAATACAGTGTCAGGATTCATATTTGTAGTAAGAGTTTATTATTGTTTTTTTTGTGCTTATACTGGCTAAAACCTGAGTCAACTCTTTGAATGTCTGTGTGCAGGGCAGTGGAACACCAAGGACTGGTCGGCCTTCGAGGTGTTCAGGGTCAGCCTGATGACATCAGAGATCATCTCCACGGAGACAGAAACACAGAGGCGGGGCCTGAAGGTCATATTTGACCTGCAGGGATGGAGTTTAGGCCACGCCTTGCAGATTAACCCTTCCCTTGCCAGAAAGATATCCTCCGTACTTTCGGTAGGCCTGAGATCTCGCTATGCAGATGACACCCAACACTTTATAACACATTTTCTCTAAGTTAGTTATCACAAAGGTGGTATGTTATTTTAATAGGTGTGTCAATTTGTTATTTCAGCTGTTCACCTGAAATTTAACAACAATCTACACAGCTGCATTGTACAGCTTTTATGCTACATGGGACTTTTTTTATTTTAAGAAACAAGAGTCAGCTTTACCTGATAGTGTATAGCTGTTTCATATTGTTTAGAGACCTAACTTGCTGCAGGTAGCCACCTTGTTAATATGTTTGCTTGTGTCTGTGTGTGTTTGTATGTTCAGGACTCTTTTCCCCTGAAAGTTAGAGGAATCCATCTGGTCAATGAGCCGATGTTCTTCCGTCCGGTCTTTGCAATGATTCGTCCCTTCCTCCCAGAGAAGATCAAACAGAGGGTCAGCACCCTTTTAATCTTGCACTCTGATCACACAACACTGCAAATGAAGCCATCTCTGTTTCTGTTGCACTTTCACTCTCTTAAAGACATACATAAAGAGCAGATATTTCTTTAATTATGCTTTTAAAATCAAAGTTTCTCATTGTTGCAGATACACATGCACGGCGCTGATTTCTGCGAGACTTTAGCCGACTTCTTCTCACCTCACGTCCTGCCTCCAGATTACGGAGGGGAGGCGCCTGAAATAGAAGAGTTGTGTCATGACTGGACCAATCATCTGCTTCAATCAGAGAACTTCCTGCAGCAGGTTGCTGCTCACCCAACCGGTGACATCGCCATAGCTCCGGAGGACGCCTTGATCTAATAGGAGACTGAACAGACTGAAACATGACTTCTGGAATTTTGACCTCTTGGATGACTTGTACAAGTGGATGTTATTTTACTGTAGCACTCTCTCTGGCAGCCATTTTTGAAGTCCGCAACTCTTAAGTACTGACTATGAAAGTTGTTGGCCGTGTGGAGAGAGTCTGTGCTGTGTCCATCTGATTGACTTTGTGTTTACATGAGGTTTGTTTTTTTTAGCTAACTGTCCTCCTTGTTATGTTTCTCATTCAAACTTTGACCAACGTTTGAAGTTGCATCTTCTAATTGAAGTATGCACATTTTGCATAAGAGTGAGATGAAGAAGTTGATGTTGATCTCATGTCTGGGTGTTGTAGTCTGAATGCAGTTATCGACTTTAGGATAAAGACTGGAAACAGGGGGACACTCAGCCAACCTTGGCCTTGGAGGCAAAAAAGCATAATGTCCTTACATTTTCATTCAGATCCATTGCTGCTCATTATGCCTGATTTCAAAAGACCAACATGGCAACCATTAGAGGCCAAACTCAAGGTCTCAGACTGGTAATTCAGAAGAAAATGGGAAATAGGGAATAATTTGGACACAGCCTATATCTTGGTTGTTTACCCATTCCTTGACAAAACAATGTAAAACCAGCCATTTTTGGTCTTTTCTCAAAATATTGCTAGCTGGAATGAACAGTCAGACAACCTATGCTGTGGCTGGATGCACTGCAACAAAGTGCTGTTATTCATCAATAACTCCCCCTGTAGCTGCAAATTTTCATTTTTTCCACTTCTGCTAATGTAGAAGTTAAACAATCACAATACACTGTGTAAAAAAGAACATTTAAGATGCGTTAGTTGGTCTGCTTTTGCCTCTTTTTTTGCTGTTGTTGGGTTCCCTTCCAGTTTCTATGGTAAGCTTGGCTAACCACAAGCCGACTCCATGTGTAAAACAAATCTTACTCTCAAACAGAAGGAAAATAAGCACATTTCCTACATTTCCTGTTGAGCTATTTTCTAAATGTCATGAATGCCTTTATTCTATTAATGTATTTTCGTTCCGTTAGTATTGACAGTGTCAGTAGCTTGGCCAGGTTAAGAAAACAGACTCATCTCAAGTGTTTTGGACTAAAGACAGGACAGTTTACTGTGTTGCCTCATTGTGGAAACAAATCTGCCTTCAGGTCAATTCATGGTTTCTAAGTGTCATCCAGACTGAGTGTAATCCTGAGCCAACAGGGACAGATGATGAAATTTACATGATGCTGAACCTTGCAAACATGTGGACACAAAAACCATGAACTGCTCTTCATCAGGTTTTTAACTTGTGCAGAGCTGTTGCTGAATGTTACTGTTTGTTTGTCACATCAAGACATGTGTTTTCCAGGGATCTAATTCAGCTGTTTTACAGGTTACTTACTATTACATTCTACTTTCCACGTGGACCTTAGAGATGGATCGCTCACTGTAAGAGTGTGATACTTCAACGAGTCCAAAGTGTTTTTTCACTGTTGTGGTTTCATGTCGTTGTGATGAACAGAAAGCTACTCAGTCGTAAGCACTACGTTCCCTTCGATTTGTCACTCCATCCAGACTTTTATCTTATCAACGAGCTAAACCAATCGATCCAGCCTTTTGTTTCCTCATGATTCATCTGTGGTATTTTGTTTTTTTCATCTATGACTTGAAATTGTGGTGTTTTTTTGACACAAATTGATATTTTAACAACAGAAATAATGATAGCCAACTGTCATAAGTAACATGCATAGGTGTGAGTGGTGATTCCTTGCACCTTTAACTCAACATCTCATATACCCAGGTATTGCAATAATGTGAATTTTCTGTATAAACTAAGTTTATGAGGATTTTTATAAATTAATTGCAGTAAAGCCTAGAATACAGAACATGCTCTTTTTTTTATATAAATGTAATCATTTGCCCTTAAAATAAGAATGTATTTTATAGGTGCTTCAGTCACACTGAGCACAAAAAAATTACAAGTTGAAGTTGTGATGTTTTTATGTGTTAACTGTTTATACTAATTGGACCTATGGGATTTCATAGAAATTTTAAGCTTAAAAAGATATTTTTAATATTTGAAGCTCAGACCTTCACCTTTATTACTGTGAGTATTCTACTAAATACAAGATTCATGCACATTGCCTGGTCAATGACATAAAGGGCTCAACATTTTGTCAATAAATTGTGTGTAGAAACACACCAGGCTCTAATTTCTTTTTGTGTTTATTTTAGGATTGCAGTTGTAAAATTCAACTTTTGTTCAGAAGTTCAAATTTCTTAGACAGTTCAGTACAAACTTCACCAAAATTGTCATTAGCACTCATAACCTCCTCTTATGAAACTAGTGTAAAGCAGAATGGCACAAATTGCACATGTTTAGCAATGGTTACACATGCCAAAGTGATGCAGAAAAGGAGATATTTTCACAATGTCAGTTGGACTAACAATTACCAGCCGTGCTAGCGGACCTGTACAGCCTTAATACTACTCTCTTGTGGATCCACACACAAACAGCTGTGGACACCACAGATGCATAGTTGTTATTAAACTACCTTCGAGTTCATGTCGAGACCACTGGGAGGACTCCATGCCAAACATGTGCGGCAGATTGTATCCAAGTACGAGCTTTGAGCATGTGCATTACAAATTTTGAGCTGCGCATAGACACTTGCAGACGTAGGGAGATTTCTGTCAATGTATTTCATGCAGACCCTTGGGGACCACCACGTACTCACTAATGCAGAAAGTATGAAGTGTTGTTGGTGCCACATGCAAAGTCAAAGAGTCCTGAAAGTCAGTAATTCAATCTCATTCTGAGATATTTCATTAAAGCTTTGAGCAGCTGGTGACACTATGGATGTAAGTCAGATAATCATTAAAGTTACTGAGGTTCAACCTCTGGGGATCCTGGATGTCCAATCGATCCTATAGTCAGTGAAACCTTTCTCAAAACACAACCTCAAGGTGTTGCTAGAGGAAATGTCATGTCATGGTTTTAGTTTTCTGTCTTTCATTCAGTCATTCAATGGTTTTTGTGTCTCCACACTCTGATCACCTGCCTCTTCAGACCAGCTGCTCCCACCTGCCTCCTCCTCCTCCCCTGATCTGGAGCTCTCCAGTATTTATACCTCTAACTCTCCACTGCTCACCTGCCAGGAGGTCTTTGTGCCTCAGTTCTCCAGCTTTCTGTTTGTCTTGGTCATTTTCTGCATGTGTTTTCAAAACTAATCTGTATTCTGGACTTTGCCTCAGCCTGCTCTCTGTGCTTTGTTTGCCTGCTGGTGTGTGTGTGTGTGTGTGTGTTGGTGTGTGTGTGTGTGTGTTTGTGTGTGTGTGTGCGTGTGTTGTTTCATTTAACCTTGGACCCACTTTTGTAAGTAAAGGTTGCATTTCGCTTTTATAACCTGCCTCTTGATTTATGCTCTTCAATCCTCTAAACACAGCTCCAACAGAGCATTATTGGGGCGCATCATCATGGGAACATGAATGTCTGTATACAGTTTTATAGTAACCTAATAGTTAAGATATGTCAGCATGAATCCCAGTGACTGAAACATTCAAACTGCCACCGTGCAATGGCAGCCAAATCAGTTCATTTCAAGGAAGTCTGTTGGTGCAGCCGCATTAGAATGAGTCATTCTGCATCATTTTAGTCTTTTCCTATTAACAGAGAATTACCAGGTATACATACTGTAGATACACATGTGGATAAGCCTCGTAGACATTCACTAGTCAAACTCATGACTCATGCCAAACATGTCAACAGAGGAGAGATAAAATTTAATGAGTTTGTCAGAGGACTACAGTGATTATAATACACTACACAAACAAAACATTCAGTTCACTCTGTTATGTTGAGTACACAAAAAAAGCTTCTACTGTTTTTTAATCATTATTATTATTACATGTTAACCCATTAATGAACTCCTTTTTTAATATCTGTGGTTCTTCTCTGCACCATAAAACTGGAGCTGCTCTTGCTTCTTTTTTTATTTCTACTTTAAATGGCATTATGAGATAGTCAGAAAAATGGACTCTCAGTGTGAACAAAGGCCACAGACAAGTTATTCGGTTCAATTATTAAAAGAAAAGAAAGGAAAAAAACCTTCGACTGTCAGTCTGTCTGTCCTTTCTCTGTTTGTGTCTTTGTGTCTTTGTGCACTGTCACTGTACCGACCTTTGATCCGCAGCTCAGTCAACATGACTATCAGCGCTGCTTGACCCACTAAACAGTATTTACTCTACAGGACTGCAGAAAACAAATGCACTGGATCAGTCCACAGTGAAAGTTCACTTTTCTCCAAATACACCCTTTTTGCTCTGCACACTCTGAGATCAAAAGCTAAATATGTCCTTGAACAAATTATAATGCACTTGTAATACTCTGGGTTGTCATGACCTCCTGTGCACCCACGCTGGTGTCAAGTCAGCTCTTGTTGATTGTAGTTCATTGGGCTCCGTCTGAACCCTGCTGAAATGAGGACAACACTTTTCCAAATATGACTAGATTTTAGGATCTCAGTTCATTTGCAGTATGAAGTTCTGTGATAGAGGTCAGCCGTGAGGTCTGTTGTCTGCTTGTCAACAGATTGGTGTCTCCATCATCTTCCGGCATCTCTCCAACCACTAACTTCCCCTTAAGCAGGCATCGCAATACCGTTTGGTCGACATTACACCACCTGCCGTGCATACACAACTCTGTGCACACCCAAATGAAAGCTGTTAGACGGAGTACAAAACCACGCTGAGATGATTTTTCCCTTTTTAGCTGTTTCCCTACTTGTTTAAATCAGCTGTTTCATTTGAAAGCAGTATGTCTTGTGTGTCAACAATCAATCATTGTATTTCAAAGTTATTATTCTAGCCTGAGACCGGCAGCTCGCCATGTTTCTACACTGCATCACCAATTCAGGGAACTAAGTTTCCTAATCATCCAAATACAACAACTCGATACATTCCATGATGAAATTTCACCTTTAGCGGTCTTTCAATGCAGTTGGAGTTTTCTCAATCCCAATCTGGGAAACACTGCTTCTACACAAATCAGTATTCATCTTTGGAGCTTATTTAACGTCCTTTGGGCCTCAATGGTTCTCTTTAATCAAATGAATTTGAGAAGTTTAGCGGAGAAATCAATCTGAGGATCAAAGTGTTTGTTTTTATAAGCTTAATATAAGATTTTACACTGTCAATACTAATGAAATAATCTGAAAAAATGTAGTGGAGCAGAAGTATGCGATGCTCAGCTGCCTAGAAATTATACCTACGACGTGCATTTTCATTCCCAAGTTTGTTGTTAACATGACTGTTGTGTGAGATGACTCATCTGAGCAGAGTGCTGGAAGAGATTTCATTTTAATGTGATGCAAACTGACTTGATGAAATCTGCAGGTTAATCAACAGCTTCCTGCCCAGTTTCACACGATTTCTCATCCAGCGCTGACAAACACTGACTTTAGTTTTTCTCACAAGAGCTAAACAAAATGTTTAAAATGCCAAACGCACTTCATTTGAATAAATTTCAAATAATAAAGAGCTCCCACACTGATGATTACTTTCTGAAGGATGATTTCAAAGCAGATCTTTTCATGTAGCTCAAAGGGATTTTTTTTAAGTTATCAAATGTACACTTTATCCAATGCTAATGTGTTAACAAGGAAATGAAGTCACAGAAATAAAATAGATCATCTCTATAAGATGCATGTACACATCATTCAGTGCAGTGGAATATTAGCTTTCAAATTTAACTAACATTAAAGCAAACAACAACCTTTTTATTCCACATGGACCGACCTAACTACTGTACGACTTGCTTTAACTAGTACCAAAAAATGTTGTTTACAACATTCAGTTTCAGTTATTTTCTCTAGTTAAAGTGTCAGTGCACCAATATAAAATATACAGCTGTAGTTGCTCAAAATGAAGCACTTTCCCTGACTTTATAAACAGCTATTGTTGCTCACAGTGGCTCCCAACCAAGGGCTCGAGGTCAGTGGTGACTTTCTAAGTACTTAATCATTACCTTAAACCAGACTAGTCACTGCAGAGGAAACATTTGATTCTTACACAAAGACTTTAACACCACCTGCCTGTCAGTAGGAGAAAAGCATCAACTTCACTCAATCAGATGTCACTCTGAACATGGAATTCCATTGTGGTGCCATCGTGAGTCTCCTTCACAAAGTCTTATTAACTAACTGTTCCAATGGCAAGACTGAGGACTAAGTTATTCGTCAATGTGTTTTACATTCTCTATCTTTTTAGTTGCTGTGCATTAAACTAGAGCTCCATCTATATTGCCCTGCTGTCTACAAACCCTGCATCAACAGCTGAATTCATCAACGTTATACCAACAGCAGACATTCAGATGTGTCAGACAAAAATATAAATGATAACACAGTTAACTGCAACATCACATTGTAGTTGTTGATGGAATAGAACCATCTCAGTGGTATAATTTCACTTCAGTGACAAAGCGCATGAATTATTCTGGAAATAAAAGTGTAGGCACC